CCCAACTGATCAATAAATTTACCGGACATAGACAAGTGCTTGAGGAGTTCTTAGTAGAAACACAAATTTCGGTGCAAGTGGAACAGTTGTTTGTACCTAAACACGATCTACAGTAAATGCAAATTATTGTTTTCTGGGTGGGAAACCACGTTCACAATGATTGGGTGGGTAAGTTACCAATCAGCCAATTAAATCAGTCCAAAGAACTTTGGGCCATACCACTCTTAGATGATAGTGATAATATTCGATTAATTATAATAAAAAAACCAACATTTTTAATCTTTACTTTTTTATCATCCCACAAAACACGTATCTTTTGATTCAACAGGATTGGCGGCTGGAAGGCGACCGCTCGCATCCGCGACGCATCTGCGTCTCTCGCGAGGGCGTACTCTCTAGTTATTCCGTAGCCTTGGCTAGGCCTTGAAGCCCTGCCTTCCAGCCGACAATCCCGTTGAATCAAGGGTTGGAAATGTGATTGTATTAAACAACGACAGCTGACCTTTTTTGGTGGTAAGATTGTGATTGACGAAGAATCCATCAACATTTGTATGGAAATCGACCAGTTCCGATTGTGATGTCAAGGTATCCACCCGGATCAGCTCAGCCCTTGTGGTGGCATAGAGGAAATCAGCGAAATATGTCAGAGACGTTGAATACTTCAGCTAAAGTTGACAATTTTCAAAAAAGCAGATACCAGAAACTTTTAACAATCTCACTCTTTTATCGTGTAGAACATTTCGCACAGTTCCATTTCTACCGTAATCCACAGCAAAAATCCGTTCAAAATATCGATCACTATAGTAGAGTGTCTGCGAAAATGCGTCTACAGCCAGACCTGCATGATAGACATGTTTGGATGCGTGCAATTTGTCGTAAGCTTCAATGTACCGTACCTCCAGGCATCTGTAGCTGTCTATCTGACATACTCAATTTAGTGCTGTTCTCGTAAGTCACTTGCCATACTCCAGCATTTTTTCCAACTGTAGAGTAGAAGATCAGTCTAAAAAAAATTTTTATAAAAAATCGGAAAAAAATTTTACGAGGGTGAGTAATCTGCAAACATAGCAAGCAAAATTTGCACTAACAAAAATGACAGCAGAAAGAAATTCATCGAGAAGGGAGCAAAAAGTTAAGAAAAAGTACTTAAGTGGGAGGTACAAATCATGCTACATCCAAAAAAGGGCGGGACCGCAAGTTACCAATGTGTATTAGTACAAAACCAGCTGAAGCACTACTGTATCCAGGCAGTACCTTAGTGGATATCAGTGACGCAAGCAGAGCTCGTGCAGTTATTACAGCGAAGAAACAGAAATTTTTTGCTGAGAAAAATTGTGAGAATATTGAAGTGTGCATTGCTTTCCAAAAAAATTCGAACTGTCCAAAATCAATGACACACAAAGCAGATGGGGCAAAAAGATTTTTTTCTGAAAAATCAAAAAAACAATAAGCGATTAGATTAAAAATTCAAAACTAAAGTGAAAATGCAATAATAAAAAGTTTAAAAATTCAAAAAAATTTTTTACCCCCAAAAAATCAATGAATCACTTCATTGTTATAAAAATTTGCAAAAAAAAGGAATGAATTTTTTCTGGGGGAGGAGGTAGGGGTGAGAGGAGAGAAAGGGATGTCGAAGAAGCAAAATGAAAATGACTAAATGTCCATGACTGATTGGTAAAAAATGAGAAAAATTGTTTTTTTTCGAAAAATTTTGAGCAGAAGTTTTCCAAATTCTTATTTTTACCATCGTAAATTTTAGAAAAATTTTACTCACCCGAATGATGGATCCACAGCAAAATTTTCGATGTCCAAATCATCCACCACTATGCGACATTTCTCCATTTTTGGCCATTCATTTTTGCAAATCAATACTCGAGTTCGACCAATGAGGAATAGCCAGTTGTCGCCAATAGAATCATGTTGCATCACACGGACCTCTGAGCAAAAAGCGACATGAAGACCAGTTCTCGTATGACTGAGGAACAGTTCTCGTCAAAATCTCGAGCTTACCATCCAAGGGAAAGCTTGCAGTTATGTCGCTTTTCATGATTTTCGACGATTTCTTTGCGATTTTTGAACATTCCATAAATGCATAGGTCAGCGGGTCCTGAAAGGAATAATATCACTAGGTGTGTACAATCTGTTGAAGAGTTCCCTTACAGCTTTC